CGGCTAGTTTGTGCTTTTAAATCATCTACTATATGAGGGGACGTAAAAGACACATTTAGGGGAGTTCCTGCCCAGCTCATACTCTTTGAAACTGACTTTGGACTACACCCTCTCCAGAGAGAATCTGCTCTATCCACTAACGTTGCTGAGGAGACGGGGGCGGGGGTGGGGGGGGGGCTGTTTATATCACATGACCCCAATGCCCTGAACCCAACTGTTTGAATCAGGGATAGGTACCTGAACCAGACCGGCCAATCCATAATGTGCTACTTGGATTTTGAAATTAGGATCCAAGAATGAATAATGGGCAATAGAGCTGCAAGACCAGGGAGACTGGGGGGCTGAAAATCAACTTAGTCATAAAGAACACTGAATGAGAACTTAGTACATGACAGGGCCTAGAAGCACAACAATGAACAAGACAACAGATCCCACCCTCACCTCTAGTGGGTGAGAGAGTAGTTGCCAAACAAATAAATGAAACAAATATAGATTGTGATAAACACTCTAAAGCAGTGGTTCTCAACCTTCCTAATGCCACGACCCTTTAATACAGTTCCTCATGTTGTGGTGACCCCCAATTTCATTGTTACAAATTGAACATAATTAAAGCATAGTGATTAATCACAAAAACAATATGTAATTATATATGTGTTTTCCGATGGTCTTAGGTGACCCCCGTGAAAGGGTTGTTCGACCCCCAAAGGGGTCGCGACCCACAGGTTGAGAACCGCTGATCTAGAAGTTCTTTCAGCATCTCAAAAAAATGAGCTAACGCTGAAATAATGCTGTGAGGAGTTTTATTTATGAATATAGGATGGGGCTAGAGGGGATCCTGGGAGCATGTTTCTGAGCTGCTGTGCTGGTGGTTGGTTCAGCCTGGCTGAGTTTTCTAGGGAGAGTTTGTATCGGCACCAAGATCAGTGAGGCTCATGGGAAGATGGATGCAGGTCCCAGATAGTCAGATTAGTTCACCTACCAAAGTATGCTACTCTGATATTAAAAGAGAGTGAATAGAAGACTCATCAAGAAGGCGAACATCTTTTGATAGGTCCCCACCTCCTTTTGTGGTAGAATATTTTGGGGCATATTTCTGCCAGATATTGCACTAAACACAAATAAAAACACCTCTTGGATCAAGAACCGTATGTGTATGTATGTACATTTTTGTAAGCTCAGCTTGTAAAATGCAAGTTTGCTGGATGTTCCATAATTTTGGGGTAAGACATTGATGATGTGGTCATCCCCTTAGGTTAGGGTTGCCTGACCTTCTGTCCCTGATCTTTCCTGCAGTAGCATCTTCAAGAGAGAGATACTGTCAGCTCTACTACTTGGGGTGGTGGTGGTGGTGGTGCAGAGACACTAGCCCCCTTTCCTCCCCTCACCACATGGGCTGCTCTATGTAGAGGTGGAGGCCCAGAGGGATGAAACAGAATATAGATGATAAGAGAGGGGGTTTGGGGGTCATAGCTGCCTCTCCCCATTTCTCACATAGGTGCTTCAGTGAAGAGTCTTGCGTCTCCATCCCCGAAGTGGAGGGCTACGTGGTTGTCCTCCAGCCCGATGCCCCCCAGATCCTGCTGAGTGGCACTGCTCACTTTGCCCGCCCAGCTGTGGACTTCGAGGGACCCGAGGGGGTCGCTTTGTTCCCAGATCTTCAGATCACTTGCTCCATCTCTCACCAGGTGGAGGCCAAAAAGGATGAGAGTTGGCAGGGAACAGGTAAGGATGACCCCAGGGAGTGAGATCATCCTGAGGAGGGTCCCTGTCCAGCACCGGAGTGAGGGAGAAAATCTGGGGCTGGACGTGAGCAGCGACTTCATCCTGCATTTGCTTGACTAGAGCCACAGACCATTAGGAAGAAGAGCCTGTAGGAGGCTCCCAGGTGGATGGAAATTGTTGGGTAACGGCGTTCTTGAAAATGATGCTGACTTCCAGGGAATGACCCTGGAAGAGTGGCCATGAGGTGGGCCTCCACTCTGACCCAGATCCTGACTCTCTCCAACCCAGTGACAGACACACGCATGTCGGATGAGATTGTGCACAACCTGGACGGCTGTGAGATTTCTCTGGTGGGGGATGACCTAGACCCGGAGCGGGAAAGCCTGCTCTTGGACATGGCATCCTTGCAGCAGCGAGGGCTGGAGCTCACCAACACGTCTGCCTACATCACCATTGCTGGTCAGTGGGGCCCGAGGGCCTGTCCTCTTTTTCTGTGTGTTCTCCTCCCCACGATCAAGTACTGGGAAATCCAGAGGGTCCCCTTCCAGGTCCAGGGATGTGGCCAAGTGACATTTCGCATCTTCCCAGCCTGGAAGATTGTTTGGCTGCTAGATTGCCCCTGGAGGAGATGTGCCAGGGGTTAGGCTCCAAATGGTCCTTTCTCCCTCTTCTCTCTTCAGCCTGGCTCACCTCCACCTCTCCTTTGGCCGAGCCTTCTTTGACCAGCTTCCTAATCCTCTGGCTGTTTGATACCAGCCATCCCGCCACTCATCTTATGTAAATAGCATAGCTTTCGTTAGGAGGTCATCTAACTAGTGGGAATGATTTGGAAATGTCCAAAGGAAGCCTGCTCTTCTCCAAAGGATTCTCCCTAAGGGAGGATGGGAGCTGATGGGCATCACCAGTTCCCTCCCATTTCCAGTCCCTTCCAGAGCCTCCCTGGTGATTTCCGTATTTCCCCCTCTCTCTGTTTCTCTCCTGCTTGCCACCTCCCTAATGTGTTGCAGAGGGTCCTGGTTTCCTTCTCTCCATCCCTACTCAGAAGCCACAGAGCATTAGAGAGGAAACCAGAGCAGGAAATGCAGCCCATCCCAGTCAATTAGAGCCAGGTTGCGGAGCAGAAGGGAACATCGCTTCCTCTGAGAACTCCTGTTGAAGGGTGGAGCTAACCCACTCTAGGCTGGTGGGAGTCGGAGAGAGAGTCCGCCCTGGGCCTCTTCGCTGGCTCCTGCACTGAGCTGCTTCCTCGTCCCCCAGGGGTGGAGAGCATCACTGTGTATGAAGAGATCCTGAGGCAGGCGCGTTACAGGCTGCGGCACGGAGCTGCCCTCTATGCCAGGAAATTCCGGCTTTCCTGCTCAGAAATGAATGGTCGTTACTCCAGCAACGAATTCATCGTGGAGGTACCGAGAGAGTCTCCTTCCTTCCACAGCTATTCCCCACTGGCGAGAAGCCAGGGTGGAGTGGACTGAACCGAAAGGTGGTGGGAATGGAAAGGACAGCAGGGAGGACTCCTGGCCCCGGTGGTGGGTGGGGCGGCAGCAGCTGTGGGGCAGTGGTTAAGAGAGGGCTTTCGGGAGATGGAGTTGGACCTGGGGAGGAGTGTGTGCCCACCAAGCCCTCCCTCCCCAGGTCAACGTCCTGCACAGCATGAACCGGGTTGCCCACCCGAGCCATGTGCTCAGCTCCCAGCAGTTTCTGCACCGTGGTCACCAGCCACCTCCTGAGATGGCTGGACACAGCTTGGCCAGCTCCCACCGAAACTCCAGTAAGTGAGGCTGTGCGGGGTGGGCAGGTGGCAGGGGACGGGGCTGGGCACAGGCATCCTCCCCCTCCACCCCTGGGGGAGGGGCAGGACAGGGTGGAGCATTGGGTTCTGTTCCCTTGTGGTACCTGAAGGCTGTATTCCAGTTCCTTTATTCCCCTGGATCATCACCTTTCCCTTGTGAAGAATGTGAGCTGTGTGTCATTGCAGGGGCACTCATGCTGGGAATCATGAAGTCTGTGTGGGGTTTAGGCCAAGCCTTTGTTGTCCCTGCTGCCCTCCCACAACAATATCAATAAGCCCCGGACCTAGGGACCCTTGGTAGTGAAGTTATCAAGTATTATTAAACACCTATCATGTACTAGCACTGTCCTAAAGTACCCTTAGGAATCTAAAAAAATTACAGGATACTGTTCCTATCCCCAAGGGGAAAGTTGGCACTATTACACGTATAATTACGTGCCATGTACAAAGTCATAAGACTATTTCTAAATCAAAATGAGCAAGTGTGTCAATATGCAGATGGAGTGCTGCCCTTCAAGGCAATCTCCTTCCCTGGCCCTGGTCCTTCACCAGTGACACAATTTTTAAATTCCCATGTAAGAGTTGCTTAATAGCAGAGAAACCAGAAACTGCAAGTGTAAAGAAGAAAGCTCAGCCACAATTCTATCACAGAGAGGAAACCATTTTATTTATTTATTTTTTAAATATAGTTTATTGGTTTTTTACAGAGAGGAAGGGATACCAACCGAAGGAGTTTGAAACTTGATAAGAGAGAAACATCGATCAGCTGCCTCCTGCACACGCCCTACTGGGAATGTGCCCACAACCAAGGTATATGCCCTTGACCGGAATCGAACCTGGGCCCCTTGAGTCCGCAGACCAACGCTCTATCCACTGAGCCAAACTGGTTAGGGCGAAACCATTTTAATATGGTATATTATGCGCCGGGTTTTTTTTTTTTTTTCCTATCCCCATTTTTTTTTTCCTTTTTACAAAGTTCGGATCCTATTATTTTGCAACTTGAGATTTATATCAAATATTATAAAATGAGTCTTCCCCCACATTATTAAAAACTGCAAAATTATTCTGATAGTGCTAAAAATGATTTTTTAAATCCCTTTTTTGATTGCTTTCAAAGCCAATTAATGAGGTTGCACTTATTTTATTTTTTTGGACACACCATGCTTTTGGCCCAGTTCAGTATTACCCAACCTCAGCATCCAGTTTTGTCAGAGTTGGCGCAGGATGTCATTTTGCGTTTTTAAACATTAAACCTACTCTCGAAGGGCACAGATTTGTCACTTTTGAAAAAAAGCCAAAAGGTGTATCACAGGCTCGGAAGGCAATTCCTTAAGGAGTTCCAACAATGCTTTGTGGGAAGAAGTCCTTGGTCAGTGAGCACTACCCTGGAAGTACAGCACTCCCTTCAATACATTTAGTAATAAGAACAGCAAACACATCCACGTGTGCCAGCCACTATGTCTGTGGGCTTTTACACATATTAACTCATTTAGTCATTACAAACAGCAAATGAAATAGGCACTAGAATTATCCCTTTAAAGGCAGGGAAATGGAAGCCCAGAGAGGTTAAATACTTTACTAAGATCACACCGCTAGAAAGTGATAGAGCCAGGATTAAAATCCAGCAGCAATTCCAGAGCCTGTGCACTTCATACTCTCTCCATTTATATTTGATGCTTAAAAACACACACACTATTATTAGCCTCAATACTTTGTAGGGCTTCCCTCTTGCTCAGTCTGGCTTCCTCTCCTAGGGCAGTGGCCACTGCTACACTATCCTTTGTGTATTGTTACCCCTGGTACTGGCTCCCTTCTTTCTTCTGCAGAAGCCTTTTTAAGTGTTTCACTCTGACAGTATGGCAGAGCAGGTGGGAATAGGGACGAGGAGGGAGTAAAAGGCATAACCAAGTTGCAGGGGTTCCAAGAAGCTTCACTCCATTTTTTTAAAAAAATATTTTTATTGATTTCAGAGAGGATGGGAGAGGGAGAGAGAGATAGAAACATTAATGATGAGAGAGAATCATTGATCAGCTGCTTCCTGCAAGTCCCACACTGGGGACGGAGCCCACAACCCGGGCATGTGCCTTGACTGGGAATCGAACCATGACTTCTTGGTTCACTGTTCAACACTCAACCACTGAGCCATGCTGGCCAGGCTTCACCCAGTCTTTAGTTGGTAGAGAGATGTGAGCGAACTAAACCTGTTTGTGTTCAATAGACCCTCAGGACAAACTTCTTTCTTCTCATGATTCCCTAGCTCTTTCTCCAGTTCTTTCCCTCGGAATTGGCCCACCAACCTTATCTGGGTTGGATACTGGGTCCTGCTACACAGATTAAGCTCAATCTAAATCCTTGTTGGCATTGTTGCTGGGCCTGTCGAGATTTTCAGTCTTTGTTTTCTGTGGCATGAGGTCCCAGGGGAGGTCCCTCTCTAACTACCCCAGAGCTTCCTACCCTCACCCTCATTCTCCCCAGCTGGTGGTGCTCCAGGGGTGTGTGTAAGTACTGTCCTCATTTCACCTCCCCATCCACTGTTCTGAGCTGATGTGCAGGCCAACCAAGCCTGCTCTGAGATCCTAACTGAGAGTGGCAGCCTGCTTTTGCTTTCCCCTTTATTTTGGGTTGAGTGTTGTGCAGAGTTCATAGTTCACCTGGGGTCCTTGGTGATGACATCTCCTGAGCTTACCAGGAGATCCATTTCATAAAACCCTCCTCAAGGCAGTCCATCTCCTCCCCGACCCAATCCCAAGAGTGGTATTATGGCTTTGCAATGTCAAATTCCTCTAGGCAGGCAGAAGCAGTGAGAGATACCATTTCCTCCAAAGGGACAGGAGGTAGATTTCCCTGAAGGTCCTAAGTGCATCAGAAAACAGAGGATCAGTGTGAAGGGGGGCAGTCAGGGAATGTTTTGTGGTGCGCATAGAGTTTGAACTTTGACCTTGAAGGAATTTTTGTGTGGTTATGAGAGAGAATGAGAATTTGAAAATTGTGGGTGTGTGGTTTAGGGCAATTATGGTTACGGAGAATAAGGTTGTCTGAGAAGGGTGAGACAAAATGATGAAGATAGTATTTATCTAGTCATCCAAAAGTTTGATGCTCCTCAGTATCACTTGGGGAGCTGTAAAAACGTTTGGTGCCTAGGTTACACTCCATACCCCTTAAATCAGAATGTCTGGCAGTGGGAGCCAGGCATCAGGGTTTTCAAAGGTTCTTAAGTGTGGCAAGGTTTGGGAACCATTTCCCTGCCTTGTTTCCTACAAGGCTTTTCAGAAAGACCTACAGTGTAATAGGATAAAGGTAGGAAATGAATTAGGAAGTGCGGCGCAAAGGACAAAGATGAAAGAAGAATAAGATAAAACCAGTTCATAAAATACTCAGAGACTGTGCAGTTGCAAGAGTGGGTCAAATTTTGACTCTGAGCTTCCTTGTCGCTAAAGCCAAGGGGAACCTGAGAAGTTATGAAGGTCATAGGATAGGGGCCAAGCAGAATTTCAGGAGAAGCCCTGGGACCAAGGGCAGAAAGAGGTTTCTCCTGATGGTCTTCACAAAGGGGGCACCACGCAGAGCTGTGGACAGGGCTCTCCACAGTGTCCTCACCATCAGCTGAAGCCAGGAGGTCACATGGGCCATTTTCTAAAACATCCTTTCATGTTGACTATGGAGGTCATTTAAGGCCAGAAGTAACTGCTCAGATCTAATGCTGCAAGAAAGGTTGCTTCGTTGTTAAACTCTTGATTTTTATCTGTGGCTAATTTAAAAATCCTCCCATCTCCCTGGCCTCCTGGCTCAGTTTAAACTAATGAACCATGCTCATTGGCCTATAGATAGAGTGTTGGCATTTTGTCTTTCCTGCATCATTTCTTAGTCCTGGCAATCAACTTGTGATTTCCTTTGCCAGGCCAGGGTCTCAGAGGACCAAATGCATCTGATTAAGGCACAAACCAGAAGGTTTGGCTTGTCATCATTGTGCCCAGAGCAAGTTTACCTGCTGTGGCCTCCACTCCTTCTAGAGCCTCGGCTTAGCGACAGGGGCATTCTGCTGGTGGCTCCCCCCCCCCCCCCATCTTGCTCATTGACGTGGAGACTTGGGAGGGACTGTTTCCTGCAGATGGGCAGACGGGTCTTCTCTGTCTCCCTCTCCCCTCCTCCCCCATGCCCAGGCAGTTGAGAAATGCTGATCCAGCCAGGCCCATCTCTGCCCTGGAGCCAGTGCCCAGGAAGGCTGCCTGCCCTGCTAGGCAGAGTCAGCTCTAGCTGGAGAGTGGCCCCAAGTGGGCTATGGGTCGGGACGGAGACCAACTCGGCAGAGAGCCATCAGGGTGGCCTCAGGGAGGTGTGAGGCTAGTGTGCCTGCTCAGGCAGGGCATTCTCCACACACCTGGTTGGCCCTGGAGCGTGTGGTAGTGTGTGTGGTGGCAGCATGAGTGTGCTGGCTGCCGCAAGCAGGGACTGCAGCAGGGTGTGTGGGGCTCCTGTGCTGTGTGCTTCTCTGCGCTCTGCTCTGTCTCTTGACATGTGAGTCTTACAGGCTGAGGGTAAATTCAGGACCAGGAGGTATATCTGTTACCAGAACATAACGTGTGTGTGTGTGTGTGTGTGTGTGTGTGTGTGTGTGTCCCATGCATTTAATAGTTCCTCAGCAACGGGACTGCTCAGAGTCTGGACCTCATGGAGCCTCTGTGGTTGGGTGGTGAGCTGCTGTGAGCAAAGACAGTGGGCAGGATGTGCACCATGTGGGGTGTAGTGACCCAGCTGCCTGTGAGGGCCCTGGGCCTGGGTGTGTATGTGTGGGGTCTCTGCCTCCAACTGCTATCCCTGGGGCTGTGGGCTCTCCTGTTTTGCCTCCTCCTGTTTCTCCGAGGGCTGTTTGTGTGTGTGCGGGGGGTGGGCAGGGCTGTGCTCACAGCTGCTCGCTCTGTGGCCCTCGCAGTCTACGTCTGTGCTGTTTACGTCCTCTTTCAGGGGGTTGCCTGGTGTGCCCAGCTGGCAGGGAGCTGGGTGACGCTGCACCTATGGCTCTTCGCTGCCTTTCTGGAGACCCTCAGACGTATCCCGTACACCCTGCTGTGTGAGCAGGCCGCCAGGTGGCTGGTGCAGGCAGCTGTGTGGGCTAGCAGAGGCCTGGCTTGGGTGCAGGGTGTGGCGGCCTTTGTCCAGCTGTGTGCCCACCCGGTCCTCCTGGGCATGTACCTGTGCATGCACATCTGCTTTTCCGCCATCAGCTCTAGGGTCCACGTGAGAGTCCACATGCCCTTCAATGTCTCACTGCCCTTCAAGGTCCATGCCCCCCTGAGCCTGGGCCTCAAAGTGGGGCTGCAGGACCAGAGGCATGGCAGGGCCAAAGAGAGAAGGGGTGTACCTCGGAGGGAGGTTAGGGAGGAGCAGAGGCCCCGGAAGCCCAGGAGCCCTAAGCCCATAAGGAGAAGGGAGGCGGCATCCAGCAGGAGTGAGTCCAATCCAGGTAGGTAAGTGAAGGGGCTGCTCCTTGCCCCTTAGACCTGTCCCAGCCTTGGACATTCTCTCCTCCCACACCATTAAGCCCATGTGGCTGCCTCTCTCCTTCTCCCATTGGGCACTGAGCAGCTCATTCCTAGGCCAAGTGGTCCCGAGAGCACAACCTGGGCAGGTTCCAAACCTTGCCCTCTTCCCGCTGACAATAGGGCTGCTCCTGACAGCACTGGGTTGGGAGCCCTTCCCCACCTTGCCCTGCCTCCACTTTTACACACCTCCTTCCCTCTGTCTCTCTAGCAGCAGCCACTCTGCCGACAGCTTCTCTCTTGGTCTCTGGTCCTTCCCAGCTCTATTTTTCTTCTAGCTTCTCCAGGGTAGTCTCCTCTTCTGAGTCATCATGGATCTTCTCTTCTCTTACTCAGAGATACCCTCTGCCCAGGCCCCCCTCCCTGCTCCCTGTGCCGAGTCCCCTCAGGTGGGCCTGGCCACGGTCTGCTCACCGCACGCTCTCCCCACAGTGGTCCCCAGTGCAGCGACTCTCATCATTGTGGTGTGTGTGGGCTTCCTGGTGCTCATGGTCATCCTGGGCCTGGTGAGAATCCACTCCCTTCACCGCCGTGTCTCGGGGGCCGGTGGGCCCCCAGGGGCCTCCAGTGACCCCAAGGACCCTGACCTCTTCTGGGATGACTCTGCTCTCACCATTATCGTGAACCCCATGGAGGTGAGTGGCTCTGGGGAGTGGGAGGTCTGAAGGGTCATACACAGCGAAGACCTCTAAGGAATGGCCAGGCCCTGGGGGAAAAGCTCTGGGCAGAGCCTCTGAGTAGAAAGGAGAAAGGTTTGCATGGGGAAGGAGGTGGGAGAGGGGTGGGGTGAGGAGATGGAGGGAGGCTGAGAGGCTCTGGGGTGTGTCAGGCCACTGAGCCCCTCTCTTCTCCACTCCTGCCTTCTCCAGTCCTACCAGAATCGGCAAGCCTGTGTGGCAGGGGCTGCCGGTGGCCAGCAGGAGGACGAGGACAGCAGTGACTCAGAGGCAGCTGACTCGCCCAGCAGCGATGAGAGACGCATCATTGAGACCCCCCCACACCGCTACTAAGGCCTACACTCCTCCCCGAAGAGAGAGAGAGAGAGAGAGAGAGAGAGAGAGAGAGAGAATTCTGCTCTGGTGAGACAGAGATACTCTCAGAAAAGAAAGAAGGACATTCTGAGAGAAGAGAGACCAAAAGGGAGAGAGCTTGAGGCATCCTTTAATCTCAAAATCCCAGTTGGCCCCACTGGAGTCTACCCTCCCCATCCCCCCGTCCACCTTGCTCCCATGCCTCTGGGCTCCCCCGCTATCCCGAGTGGAAGACTCTGGCTGCCTTTTTTGCCCCTCAGAGCAGCCTTCCCCTAGCTCACCCATGTCTCTGTCTCTCCCCCGACTAGCCATGCTCTGTATTGGGGGCGCTGTCAGTAGCAATGGCAGGGGCCAGCAGTGGGATTGAAGGAACACTCTACTCCACACTTCCCTACCCTCCTGTCCATGAGGCCTTCTCCCCCCAGTTCCCACCATCCGTTTCACTCTGGGGACCCCTGCTTCTTCACTGCGCCCACTTTCCTTCCTTTGTGTCCTCTTTCCTCTCCTGTCCTTGCCTGAAGTCCTACAACCCCTTCCCCTTCCTACATGACCCGGTCATGGCTAGGTTGTGGGGGTGGGAGCGGGAGTAGGGGCCCCGATGTATATATATAATGTATATTTTTTCATGTTGTTGTGAGCACAGCCCCTGTGTTCCATGTGCAGCTCACAGCCTTGTGTGTGTGTGTGTGTGTGGCATTGTCATGTCCTGGGGTGGCGGTAGGGGAATGGGTGTGGTGAGGGAGGGGACACACCTGAGGGTTTTCAAATAAAACAACCAGAAAAAAGCGCTGTGAGCTGCCTCCTGCCTGTCTGATCCCATGTGGACACTGTAGGAGGCAGGCCTGTGGGTCTCAGGGCCCGTTGGGGTCTGTGAGCAGGGCTGAGGTGAGGTGGGCAGGACTGGTTGTCTTGGGTGCCATCACCAGGATGCCAGGCCACGGGGAAATAAGGCAAGGTCAGATGGCTCCCAACGCCATCTTCCCTCAGCACTCCCTGGAAAAATATAGGTGATTCAGGGGATGCTGCAGATGCCTGGACATCGTGGGGTCACTGTCAGTCCCTCCCCATCTCTTGGAACATCCCATCTGGAGCACATGGGCTCCTAGCCCAGGAGTCCAGGAGGTCAGGGCAGGAGGCCCTGCCATTTGTAGCAAGAGAGGGCGGGCTCTGAGACATGTCCCCTAGGTGGTAAGGAGCAGTAATGAGATGGACATGTTTCAGAAGAGGGACCTGTAATGGAGCATCCTTCCTGGGCTGTCTCTGCCCCAGGAAACACCAGAGGTGTAAGTCTTAGTTCCTTTCTGTGAGATGAGGGGTTTTGAGGATCAGTAATGTTCTCTGTAATTCTTAACAGGTGGGATGGAGGTGGAGATCACTGGCCCATCCCATGCCCCTCTCAGTGCCCAGTCTTCTGCTGGGTGCTCCCTCCTTACCCATGGATCCAACTACCAGCTGTAGATGGATGCTTCCACATATATTTCTCCCACCCAAACCTCTTTCCTGGCCCCTATTTACAACTACCTATTGGTATGTCAGGCATCTTGTGCCTCAGACTCAACCTTAACCCAAATCCTGCTCTATTGTTGCTTACCTCTCCCTATTGTCTTTCACCTAGTTACCTAAGCCAGAAACCTGGGTGTCAGTCTAGACTTCTCCCTCTCCCTTCACCTCATGTCCAAATGGTGATGACATCTGTCATTTTTACCCCTTAAAATCTCTCCACATGTCCTTTCCTTTCTCTTTCCTCTACTGCTGCTGCTGTGTTGCTTCAATGAGCCTGTCAATATAAGCCTGGTCTCCTGGCCTCTGGGGTCTTACTGCACTCCAGCCTGACTCTGGGTCTGAGTGACCTTTCCAAAGTGCAATTCTGGTTATGCCACTCTCCTCTTAGAACTTTCCCTTCCTTCCCGTCACTGCCAGTCAAGTTCTGGTGCCTTAGGGGTGGCACTTAACCCAGGGGGGTCAGATCTTGCCTCCCTCCCTGGGCTCTCTCTGCCACCCCTCCTGTGCACCTGGTCACACAGACCACTAGTACTTCCCCAAATTCACCCTGCTCTTCCCTGCCTTCGTCTTTGCACATACTGTTCCCCCTGCCCAGCATGTTCTTTCCCCTTTGTGTGCTTATGTTTTATTAACTATGCTACTTATCTATTCTCTTTGTGCGCAATCTTCTACTTATCACTGAACACCCAGTTCCAATGTTGCTTCTTCAAGGAAGTCTTCTGTGCTCTGGCACCTCTTGTTAATGCCCCCATCACAGCACTTCCTACTAGACTGCAGTACATGTCTGTTTGCACCACCAGATTTGTGGTATCCTCAGCAAATTATATAGGGTCTGGCACATAGTAGGGGCTCCATAAATGATGAATGAGGTGGTGTGTGTGGCTCTCACACTGAGGCTTATTGGTAGAAGGGGAGAGGAGAGCTGATCTGGTGACCTCTGCCCTGGGAGGTCAGTGCATAGAGGACAGAGGCAGCCAAGCAGATGCCCTGTAGCAGCCTCTCCTGTGGTGGGGCCACCTGTATGCCAAGCTGACATTTCTGTGTCTGTGGCAATACCATGTGGGAGGCAGCTCTACCTGTTCAGCCAGAGTCCTGCAGAGGCTCAGGTGATGGCTCAATAGGTAGAGAGGCATGAGAGAGACTGTTGTCCTGAATCTCAGTGTGTTCACGTCATTCTTCTCCCTCTTGCCATCCCTCCTCACCCTCACGCTCCCTGGTCTCCGAGACCACAGCTTCCCATGGGGAGGAGCTGAAGCCAAGTGCATCCCGTTATTTCTGTGCTTGCCCTTGGGGCCCATGCACTGTGGCTGAGACCTCGGCATGGGGTCCTTATTCACCTCCAGTTCAAGCCACACCTCTATGGAGCGGGTGGGGGTGAGGGAGAGCTCACTGGGAACTGTCTCCCCCATCCCCTCCCCTTGATGTACACACATCAGCAGCACAGAATGGCAAATGGCAGCGTGGAGTCTTTCTTAGCATCTGCCCAACCTCAGCCAGACTCCTGGCCTTTCTGGATCGTCTGCCCCTGGGGTGGAGTTTTTTTCCGAAACCTACCATTCTACATTAGTTTCCTGGAGACTCCAGAATCAGCCATGGATCACTGATTATGTCTTATAGGTGTAACCTTTCCTGTCCCTCGTGTCTGACACCCCAGATCCCAGTGTATGGTTACTGCCATCTCCCTCTATGACAATTGTACATGTAGAGGCATCGTGGGTGGTGGTGGGGGTGGTGGTATAAGTAGGAGCCTGGGGGCCTGGAGAAGACCTTGAACATTCTCTCTCTCAAACACACACACACACACACACACACACACACACACACACGGAATCAGGCATGAGGCAAGATGCTAACTCTGACCATGCAGAGAAAACACAGCAGGCAGCAGACCAAATGCGTTTTTATTTTGTTGCTCAAGGTCTCCTGGAAGGCTGCTCCATAGCCTCCCGTGTAGAAGCTGGCAAAGCCTCAGGGTGCCTGGTTTTGGGCAGTGTTTCCAATTTACCTACTCCCATTTAATTCAAAATAGCCGACACATCTCCTTTGGCCTGACTCCATTCTTCTGCACTGGAAGGATGTTTTCCTCTGAAATCCTCTCTCTGCAATGAAAATTAATTAGCTTTCCAAAAGCTGCAAGACGAAGAGCTATGCCCCTGGGAAAAGCCATGCTGTAGAGGCAGATATGGTAACCACGAGTTCAAGAACAAAGTGTGTCCTTCCTGTTACCAGGCCAGAGACCTTAAAACTCACCCTGTGCTTCCTGGGTGTTCGGCGCACACACACACTGGTAGTGTGTAAATGCAGGAGGGCTCTGCACACTTCAGGAGTCTCCATTCCACCCTGCAACCTTCAGGCAGGAGTCTCCATTCCACCCTGCAACCTTCAGGCTGATGCACCAATCAGCAAGAATTCGGAAACCTCCATTGCCCCAGTAGCCCCCACCCTGGGGACTTTGTTGGGTAGGGAAAGAATGACACTTCTGCTCTCCATCTTCTAGGAGCTATGGAAGGTCTCATATGCCCTTCAGAATGTAATATCCATGTTTGCTCCCCAAAGTGTGTCCCCTAGGAGACCCCCCAGACTTACTATACCTCAGGACTCTGGACTATATGTTGACCTGGTGACTCCCTCAGATCCTGGGATGTCTCCGAGGGGTGTCTAAGGATGAGTTTGTGTCCACTCTGTTTCTCTGTGCACTGCGGGTATGGTTTCCCGGTTTCCCGAACTCCACTTCCTGGGAACCCTCTCCTCATGCAGCATCCTTTGGGCGAGTCCCTGGCAGGTGGGTGGAGGCATCTGACAGACAGAGAGGAGGAGCTAGCAGGATTATTTTCACAGCACTGGTGTCATTGCATCTCCTGCGGCACCACGCTGTCGCTCCCTTAAAATACCCACGTCCTCCAGGAAAAGGACAGATGAGGATTTAAATTTAGCAACAGTGGGTAGGGGGAAGGGGGTGATGGAGACTCTGGGATGTGGTGGAGCTGACTTTGAGAAAACAGGAGTAAAAATCCCACGATGCCTGGGTGAGAATCCCAATATACAAGGATAAGGGAGTGTCGGCCCCAAATATCCAATCTCAAAGAGCTGCCCGCTTTTCCCAAGTTCTCACCTCAGGTCTGCAGCCCTCTCCTGTCTCCTCATCAGGTGTGGTCTTTCCCCCTTAAACACGTGCAGTTAGGATTATACTGTGGTCTCCCCATGGGCTGCGGCAAAAGCAACATTTGAGAAGACCTCTACTTTTAATTAGGCCTCTGAAGGAAGAGCAGCCTTCCTTCATTCCATGGTGCTACAGGGAGGGCAAAGTCCGAAAGGCATGAAGCAGTGAAGAGAGGGTAATACATTTTCCAGATGACAACTGGTCAAAGCCCCAGGGTACCAGGTGGACTTAGGCTGCTCATGCTACCTAGTCTCCTGATAGTTTAGCAGTCCCCTCACAGAGCCCAGGGCCAGGGCCAGTCCTCTCCCTTAGCCCCTACTCTTTTTTCTTTTTTGAGAGAGAGGAAGGGAGAGGGATAGAGAGATAGAAACATCAATGAGAGAGAGAGCGACATTGATCAGCTGCCTCCTCCATGCCCCCTACTGGGGATCAAGCCCACAACCCAGTCATGTGCCCTGACCAGGCATCGAACAGGTGAATTCTTGGTTTGTCGGTCAACACTCAACCACTGGGCCACACTGGCCAGGCCCTCAGGGCCCTATGCTTGACGAGCCATCTTGTTGCTTTGAGAAAATCCTACAGCACAGAGGGCCCCCTTGCCAGGTGAGGTCATGGGGAGCAAGGCTGATGAGGACTTTGCTATCAGCTCTGCCTCTGTTCAAATCCCAGCAACTTAGTGTTTGTTCTTTGTCTTTTTCTCTAAGCGTTGGTTCATCACCTAAAAGGGGAATTACTTCCTCAAAGGGTTGAGTGAGGCTTAAGTAAGAACTTTTTCTGAAATAACTCAGAATCAGCATATTCCATGTCAGCTGTTATTATCATTAATTATTGGGAGATGCACAAAACTATCCCTAGCCACAGTAAATGGGGTCTTTTAAACCATGAAGTTCTAGAGATCCCTGAAGTTCCTTTCATTCAAAGTCCAGGCAGCATAGGGTTGTGGTTTTGAACACATGCTTTGGAGTCAGAGACACCTGGATTTTTTTCTTCTCCTTGACAGTTTACAGGAGCGTATTGTGGCTAATGCCCGTAGGAGAACGACTATTTTTATAGTTTCCAGTGTGTTTTAAACAGATATGAGGTTATTT